ATATTACATACTTTATATATTTTGAGAATTAAATGACTTAATGCTTGTAAACCACTTAGCACAACGACTGGCACATGGTAGATCCTCACTAACTGTAAGCCATTATTATTTCACTTAATCATCATAACAGTCTTGTGAGTTGTGAAAACTTACCCTCATTTTACAGAAGAGGAAAGTGACTTACCCAAGAACGTACTGAAAGTGGTAGTGGAGCCAGACGCGAAACCAAGTCTGTCCCAATTACTTTCCCTGACACAGCCTGTCAGGGATGAGAAAAGACAGACCAAGTCAGAGGCCCCGAGGGACATATATCAGGGTCTGCAAAGAGTTACATAGACAGACATCCCCCACCCAGCCAGCTCCATCCAGCAGCGGGTGTGAGGACCACAAAGGGTGCTGGCATGGGGGTAGAGGCAGCAAAGACTGGTCGTGTTTGGCCAGAGAGGAGGCCCCTGTTGACCCACTGGCCCACCGGATGGAGGGATTCTACAGCGGTCAGGACGTGGAGATCCCCCCCCCCATTTCCTCGCAGACCCCGCCCTCGCGATGACTGCACCCCCCATCCCTCCTCCCCCCACCCCGGTGCCCCGGCAGGATGGAGCGGGACGCTCAGTTCGCACAAAGGAAAGCAGAGCGAGCCACGCTGCGGAGCCACTTCCGAGACAAATACCGGCTGCCCAAGGTAAGCAGGGCCGCGATCCTGAGCCCTGGGCTCAGGACTTCTTTGCTCCACTCCGGGGGCTGCATTTCTCAGCCTGTAAGTTTCACAGGGTGCTGGGTTCGACCCTTCGTTCTCTCACTCATTCATTCATTTGTTCATTCCTTCATTCACTCACCCACGGTTAACTAGGGCCCAGCAAGGGCCAGGCCATGGCTTGGTGCCAGGGGAAGCCTCCACAGGCCGATGGGTTTGTGTGTCCGGAGCCAGGCCAGGCCCCTTCTCTCCTCCACACTCCCGGTCAGGCCTGGGCAGATGAAGGCCAGGAGGGCCAGGGTCTGTGGATGAGGCAGAAGGCAGTAGATTTTACCCCAGAAGTGAGTGCGCTTGAGGTTTCTGAACACACAGGGAGAGCAGGGTCCAGGAGAGAAGGCAGCACCCTCTGAGTGCCAGGCGTTTGACCTTTACCCCTGCAGTTAACCCCTCCAATAACATGGCCAGGTAGAGATCACCCACAGCTACAAGTGAGGAAACTGAGACTCAGCAAGATTAACGGACTTGACCAAGTTCATTCAGCCAGTGAGTGGTGAAGCTGGGATGGGAGCTCAAGCCTGTGCATACTGAACATGCGCTTGCTCCAGGTCCCCAGGCTGCTTCCCAGGGTATGGGGTCTGCCTGCAGAGAACAAAGTACCTCCTTGGTTTGCCAAGCAGCCAGGGAGGATGTCTCAGGAGACTCTGGCCTCTATGCTTCTGTAGGCACTGCGGCACCAGACAGGTTTGTTAAGTGTTCTACTCCCATTGCCTCAGGAGGGAAACCGAGGCACTGCAACTCTCAGAGCATTGCCTTGTGCCCAGAACTGTGCTAGACTCTGAGCGGAAACAGAAGGACAGTGATACAGCACTCCTGACCTTGATCTGCCACTTGAATTGGAAGATCAGATATGTGGACAGCACATTGATTCATTCAACAAGTGTTTACTGAGCCCCTGGCTGCCTCTGTCTTCCCCCAGGGCACCAGTCCTTTTGAAGTCTCTCAAAGGGAACTGGTCCAGACTTAATGGTTTGACTGAGACTGGAGGGACCCCAGAAGACATGGCCCCCAGACTCTCTGTTGGCCCAGAGCTGAAACCGTTCCTGAGGCCAACTCTTCAGACAAAGATTAGACAGGACTATGGGACATAAAACGATACTCGTGAAGAGTGTGCTTCTTAGCTCAAGTAGATACATGAGACTAAATGGGCAGCTCCTGTCTGGAGGTGAGATGAGAAGGCAGAGAGGGTCAGGAGCTGGTTGAATGGACATGGGAAATTCGCGGTGGAAAGGAGGAGTGTGCTATCCCAGTATAGGGAGAGCAACTAGGGTCACATAGCAATGAGTGTATAAATTTTTGTATGAGAAACTGACTTGAATTGTAAACTTTCACTTAAAGCACAATAAAAAAAAAAAAGGAAACTGGTCCAGAAAGCCTTCCTTTCTGGAACGTTACCGAGTTATACTCAGCTAGGAACGGAGTCACTCCTCAAATGCCTGCAGTTAGCATGTAAGTGACACAACTCCTGCCATTGGGGCACTCTGAGTCCAGTAGAAGAGAGAAGACTTGGATGCAACTGAGTAGGACATAAGGTGGAAAGCCCCAGTCCCCCCAACCCTCTAGGGACAAGAAAACAGATGTTGAAATCAATGATATGACTTTAAATCTAGCTCCCTACTTCCTAGTTGTGAAAACTTGGACAAATTATTTACTTAAGTTATCTGAGCCTCTATTTCCTATCTATAAATAGGGATAATACCTACCTCACAGGATTATTGTGTGAATTAAAAATACCCAGCTCAATATGGGACATATAATAGGTGTTCAATAAATGGTACCCATCACTATTATTGCTTACTTCCTGCAGAATGTTGTTGTTGTTAGGTGCCATCAAGTCCATTTTTGATTCATAGTGATCCCATGTGACAGGGTAGAACTACCCCATAGGGTTCCCTGGTGGTGCAGTGGTTAAGAGTTCAGCTGCTAACCAAAAGGTTGGCAGTTCGAATCCACCAGGTGCTCCTTGGAAACCAAGAAGGGCAGTTCTACTCTGTCCTATAGGGTCGCTGTGAGTCAGAATCGATTTGACGGCAATGGGTTTTTGGTTTAATCTTTACAGGAGCAGATCACCAGGTCTTTCTCAGCCGGAGCCATCGGGTGGGTTTGAATCACTGACCTTTTTCAGTTAGCAGCGAGCTCTTAACCATTGCACCACCAGGACTCCTGCAGTGTAGTTAAGGATAAATCGTCAGCATACGGCATAGATGACTATGACAGTGACTTGTTGGTATTTTCATTTTGTCTTTACTCACTATGCTAGTCCTTCAGTGTCTCAGAGTGAAAGAAGGTGGTATAAAAGTACAAGGTATAAAAGTGCACGGTCTCCATGTTTAAATGTCAAACTCTGGATCCTGGAATGTGGAGGCGGGGGGTGAGCTCACTGGACCACAGGGATCAAGAATCCAGGGTCCTGGAACCCAGTGCAGGCCTCCTGCCTACCCTCTCAACACTGGGTCCTCACAGACTTCCACCCTTGCCTCATGCCCCTCCCATCTTCCCTTCAGAACGAGACAGATGAGAGCCAGATCCAGATGGCAGGTGGAGATGTGGAGCTGCCCCGGGAGCTGGCCAAGATGATTGAGGAGGACACAGAGGAGGAGAAGGCCTCAGTCCTCGGGCAGCTGGGCAGCCTCCCTGGCTTGGACCTTGGCTCACTCAAGGACAAGGCCCAGACCACACTGGGAGACCTTAAGCAGTCAGCTGAGAAGTGCTACATCATGTGACCACTTCCCCGGGGTTGCCCACTGGGGTGACCGGAGGGGTGGGCCCACATGAGGGCGAACAGCATGTCTCAACTCCCAGGGACCCATACCCCATCTTGGGCTTTGATTCCCTGGCCCCAGGACCCCTCTCATCCATGCCCCAAGCTTGCCTTCTGGTGTCTCCCTCTCCACTGGGAGCAGAATCCCCATTCCTCACCGTATCCCCCAGGAATCCTCTCTCAATCAACCTGGGGAGGCCTCCCAAGGTTATAGGAATAGGCCCATTCCTCTCTGATTGTGGCCCCAAATTCCTGCACACAGGAGCACCCACAGAGAGACACACAGAGGGACAAAAGCCCTGGCATGAGCAGAGGCCTAAGCCGTAGATGCGTCCTTGCACACAAACACACACACACACACACACACACACACACACAC